TCGATGGCAGGAGACGAGGCAGGCAGCGGCGGTGCCCCCTGCCCCCCCGCCCCCCTCTCCGCTGTGGAACAGGCGGCAGCGGCGGTGCGGGATCTGGTCAGCGGGCGGGCGGCGCAGAGGGTGGAGTCGGAGCGGGCCGCCGAGGCTCGCAGGCACGGCCTGCCAGATGCTTCCGCGGTGCACTGGCTGGGCCCACAGGGCGCAGCGGCTGTGGAGGAGGGCAGCCAGCCTGGGTGCGGCCCGCCCTGGCGCAACCGCATGGTGCTCGACCGCAACAGGCTCATGCAGTTGCACCAAAAGGCGAGGGCGCAGCGGAAGGCGGCCAGGGCGGGCGGCTTTGCGGGCTACCCTGGAGGCCCACACGGCGGCGGCCGCGGCGGCGGGCCCACTGCCGCGGCAGCAGGGAATAGCGGCGGCGGCCGGGGTAGGAGCGGGGGAGGGCCCGGAGGAGGCGGCAGCAGCAGAGGTGGCAGCGATGGCAGCCGGGGGCCGCGGCATGCCTCCGCGGTGTCGGCAGCGGTGGCAGATGGCGGCGGCGGCGGCGGGGCGGTGCCTAGCAGTGCGGCAGGCAACAAGCGCCGCACCCCTTCTGCAGCTGCGGCTGCAGATGCAGCTGCTGTTGGCCTGGATGTGCCCAGTGTGGAGCGCAGCCGACAGGCGGAGAGGGAGCGGCAGGAGCAAGAAGAGCAGCAGGGAGAGGGGCAGAAACGCAAGCGGGTGGGTGACCTGGCAGAGGAGGCTGAGCTGGCGGCGGCGCTGGCGGCCTCGGCTCGGGATGCTGGGCTGGCAGGGGGCGCAGCCGGCAGTGCGGGGGCAGCAGCAGGCGAGTCTAGATATTCGATGCGCGGTGCAAAGGGCGTGGCAACGGGCGCGGCAGCGGGCGGCAAGAGTGGCGCTGGCTCCAGCCCTGCTGCCGCCACTGCCGCAGTGCCGGCTGGCGCTGCCACCTTCAGCGCGCGGCAGCCGGATGTGGGGCAGTGCTGGGTGGAGGTCTTTTGCTGGGATGTGGCGGCGGAGGGCGACGAGGGCGACGCCACCCCCAGGCAAGCACGGCTGGGCACCTTAGCTTGGCTCTCCTTGCTCCCACATCCAGCAGGGGGGGGATGGGGCTGAAGCGCCGCCACTTGCTGCCTTCACCATGCCACCTGCATGGCACCCCACGCCCACCCCTTCCCCTACTCCACCTCTTCCCGCTGGCTGCATACCCCCCCACACACACACCGCTCCCCCCGTGCAGATGGGTCCATGTCGACCCGCTGACCAACTCTGTGGACGATGCGGCGGCGGTGGCGGCCAAGCAGCCGCGCGAGCGCCAGCCGCTGCCGCACGTGGTGGCGCTGGCGGGCGGCGGCGCCAAGGACGTCACGCAGCGGTGGGTGTGGGTGTGGGGGGGGAGGGTGGTGGAGCTGGGGCACGCTTGGGTGGCTGTCTGGCTGGGTCTGCTGCCTGCCTGGTCTCTGTGCCGGAACTGGTTGCCAGCAAGCAGCAGCATGCTTTGCAGCCTATAGGCTGTCGGACTGATGCGGGACCGCCTGGCCGGTACTGCAGGTATGCGGCCGACTGGCTGGCTGCCGAGAAGCTGCGGGACGAGGAGTGGTGGCGGCAGACGCTGGCGCCGCTGCGCAGGCTGGAGGCCGCTGCCAGCCTGGCAGCGGGTGCTGCCACCGGCGGGGATGGCAGCCCAGGCAGCGGCGAGGGGCTGGGGCCCCGGGCTGCCGCCGCGGCCAGGCGGCGGCAGGCGGCGGCAGAGGCGGCGGGGCAGAGCGCGGCGCGGCTGGCGGCGGAGCGCGAGGATGCGGAGCTGGAGGAGCGAGCGGCGCATGTGGGCTGAGCGCGCTGTCTGGCTGTCTGGCTGTCTGGCTGTCTGGCTGCTGTGCCTGAGCCACAGCCATGCGCTCGCCCGGCCCCCGCCACACGCCGCTGCACTGCCGCTGAGCTGGCGCTGCTCTCCACCCACAGGCCCGCCTCAGCCTGCCCAGCACCATGGAGGGTTTCCGCGCCCACTCGGCGTTTGTGCTGGAGCGCCACATCCCGCGCTTCTGCGCCGTGAAGCCGGGGGCCGGGAAGCAGGGCATGCACAGGTGGGGGGCTGCCTGTGGACAGCAGGCTGCGGCGGCGGCAGATGGAGGAGTGGTGGTGGGAGCAGGGTGGTGGCAGCTGGTGGAGGGGGTGGAGCAGGGGGAGGGGGCCACAAGTGACCGCTGCAGCTAAGCCAGCGCCAGCAGGGCAAGGCCACCCTCCGCAGGCGGCCGCAGGCCCCCCCACCGGCCTGACGCATGCAGCTAGTCCCCCACCACCCGCCACCCACCACTCCTGGCCCTGACTCTGCCCCGCCGCGTGGCACAGGGGCGAGCCCTACTTCCGCCGCTGCGACCTGGCTGACCTGCACACCGCCGCCAAGTGGCGCACCGACCACGGGCGGGAGGTGGTGCCGGGGGAGGTGGAGCGGCCCTACAAGCGGGTCAAGAGCAGGAAGAGGGTGGGGGCGGGGTCGCCGCTGACGCTGAACGGGGGGCCGGAGGGGGAGGAGGAGGACGAGGAGGAGGAGGAGGAGGTGAGCGGGCACGCTGCGCTGCGTGAGGCGGTATGGCGGCGGCTGGCTCAATCTGGATGCGGCTTGTCAGCCCCAGCCTCTTTTCTTCCATCCACTGCCGCCTCCCCTGCGTGCAGCTCGACGGCGGCGGCGCCGGCGTCCGGTCCAGCGACCCCTCCGCCCCCACCACGCTCCTGTACGGCATCTGGCAGACGCGGGAGTGGGTGCCCGTGGCGGCGGCGGATGGCAGCATCCCCACCAATGAGCACGGCAACGTGGAGGTGCCGCCCCTGGCCAAAAAGATGCCGGCGGGCCTGGTGAGCGGGCGGGGGTGGGGGTGGGGTGGCAGGGGCCGCGGAGCGAAGCACCCTCCTGCCCTGCCCTGCCTGCTGGCTGCTGGGCCGGGTCGAGCTGCCCCCTCTGCAACTTTTTCGCCGCCCGCCGGCGCCGCAGGTGCACCTCGACATGCCCTACGTCGTCAACACCTGCAAGGCGCTGGGCGTGGAGCATGCGCGGGCGCTGGTCGGCTTTGCGCGCAACCGCTTCCCGCAGGTCGAGGGCGTGGTGGTGTGGGAGGAGGACCAGCAGCGAGTGGTGGATGCCTACCTGCAGGCGGAGAGGTTGGTGGGGGTGGTGCTTGGTGCCTCTGCTGCCTGCCGGACCCGATGACCGCCTGGCTGGGCCCATGCATGCCCCTGGCTGAGCCGCGTGGCTGCGCACCGCCTGGTAGCGGCACAGATGGATGTCGCGGCTGGGATGTGTGGCACGGCTGAAGCGTGCTGCCTGGGCCTGCAGGGAGCGGGAGGAGAGGAAGCGGTTGAAGGCGGAGGCGGAGGCGGACGCCGCGTGGCGCATGCTGCTGCGCGCCGTGCTGGCCCGTGTGCGCCTGCAGCAGAGCTACGGCCCGCAGCAGTCGCAGGAGCAGGCCGGGGAGGCGGCCATGGCCGATGCGGCGGCTGCCCTGTTGCATCAAAGCGGGGCCGCGCCGCCAGCCAGGGCTGGAGCAGGCAAGAAGCGGGGTGGCGGGAGGAAGAGTGCGGCGACGGCAGCGGCGGCGGCTCCCACAGCAGCTGCTGCCGATGTGGTCGACCTGGCCGGCAGCGACTCTGATGATGCCGTACCCTCAGCCGGCACTGCACCGCCCGCTGCGCTCGGCCTGGACCTGCACCAGCTGCGTGGCAAGCTGGAGGCGCAGCTGTCGCCGGCGGGGCAGCGCCAGCAGCAGCAGCAGCAGCAGCAGCGGGAGCAGCACATGGCCGATGTACACCAGGAGGAGATTTAGGCGGCTGCGCGAGGTGGCGTCGAGGTGGCCGCCCAACTTCCTGACAGGTTTTACAGGTTTTGCCTGCCCCCGCCGCTCATTTGAAGACACAGCCGTGTAATCATCAAACACAGACGTGAAACAGGCCAACTGCAGATGAGATATGACGAAAGGAAAGGTCGTGGCAGAGGGTCTTGTCTCCCACGAACACTCTTTGAGCGACAGCCTCCGTGACCTACCAGCCACCATGCATCTGTTGTTGGGTGCCATCGTGGCCTTGGCTCTTACCCACGCCCACTGGAGCTCGGCTGGGGCCACCACGGTGAGCTCAAGCGCGTTCATGAGCGAGAGCATGGCAACACTCCACAGCTGCACTCATCCCCAGCATGCACTCCCTCATCCGCCGGCCACCACATATGGCATGCGGTGGGATTGCTGCCGCTTTCGCCTGGCCGGCCAGGCTGAATCAAGGCTTCCACCTGGCGCAGGTTGCTGGCATCGATGCTGCTGAGGACCACTCATCAGCTGCTGGCGATTCGCGGTGGTGGGGCCACCTGGGCCCCCTGCGCCGCCACCTGCGCACATCCAGCCAGGCGCCGAGCGCCCGCCAGGCTCCCCGCCTGCTTGGGCAGCTGCCGAACAACTATGGATCAGCAGAGCATGCCGAGATACGCATCAGGAATGCGTGTGTGCACGATGCCATTGAGGTCAAGACTGCAGCTGGAACCGCGGGCACTGTTGCTGCGCTGCTGGCGTGCCAAGATGCGCATGACGTTCGATCCTTCAACCGAACCAGCTGCAGGTTGCTGTCATGTTTTGGTACAACGAGTGGGGCGACCCCGAGGACTGCGCTTACCGCGCGATGTGAGGCGTGCATGAATTCATCTGCAGCAGCACACAGCTCTGCTGCTGCCGCCTGGCTGCGCCCTGGGCCCGCTCAACCGAGCTGCTGCCGTCCCCTGCCCGCATGTGCCGCATCACCCCCATCATCACCCGCATGTGCCTGCCTCCCCCACCCCCTGCCTGCCCCGAACGCCTGCCTGCCCCCACCAGCTGGTTTGACGGCACCACCTCCTTCTGTGTCGACCACTGGCACGTGGTTGAGCCAAACGACACGCTGTACCTGGCCGACACAGCCTACAGCTCCTGGCACTTCACCGCCCACCTGCTGCGCGACCCGGCCGCCGGCTGGGGCACGCAGCAGTTCAGGGACCTGAGGTGGCGCTCCTGCAGCAGAAACTCCAGGGGGTGCCACGGGTGGGATGAGGTGGGCATGCTGGGTGGGCGACTGATTGCCAGATGCATTCGCAGGGTGCCGCACGGGGGGAGAGAAGTCGACAAGCCAGACTGGTACTGCTGTACTTTGCAGGTTGAGGTGGGCAGCCTAGGAGAAGGCGAGGAGGCACCCTTGCCCATCCTCTCCTGCCCCACAATCGACACGCATGTTACACCGCTGCACTTGTGGGACGCTTGGTGAGTGTGGGGCGCATGCACATGAGAGCCTGCCCATCTCCTGCAGCTCCCCACTGGTCGTACCTTTACCCATTCGGCGCACTGCCGGCGCAGGTACGACTGGCCGCAGCTGGCGGATGCGTCTGCGCCCTTTGCGGCCCAGGCCACCATCACGGTGCTGCGGGACCCCGGGGACCCCAGCCACTATTTCTGGGCACACTTTGTGGAGTTCACCGACAAGCGGCCCGCAGCCGGCGCCAGCCAGCTGCCCGACGGAGCCGTCGCATACATTGGGATGCAGACGTGGGGCGGCGAGGGGCGGGGCTTCATCTTCAATGTGTGGGGCGCCACCTCCGGCCAGCCCGACCAGGGGCTGGCAGCCCAGCCAGACCCCGTGGTTGCTGGCCGGCCCGCCGCCCGTTGTGGGGCATTCGAGAACGAGGGGGCCGGCTACCAGTGCTTCGCCAGCCTGGTGTGGGAGGCAGGACTGGAGTATGAGCTGCAGATATCTCTGCTGCGGCGGCAGGAGGGCGGCGACACCCTGCGGGCAACGGCAGCGGGCAGCATGCGGGGCCACCCATTCCAGCACATCATTGGCGACATCTTTGTGCCCGCCTACTATGGCAGGTCGGCGAGCTGCTGGTTGTGCCTGCTTGGATTCCCCAAGATGGGGCGGCTGGATAATGGCCGCTCGAATGGGCACCCGGTCTTGGGTCATTAACCGATTTTTCCTCTCTGGCCGCAGCCCCGCTTCTTCAGTGTATTTCTATGAATACTACGGGACCCTGCCGTCTTGCTCCAGCATGCCGCCCGCCGAAGTGCTGTTCAGGTGTGCAGCTCGGTTGGGTGATGCGTTATTACCCGCTGTGGAGCTGGGCAGGAATTTCGGAATTTCTCCAGGCAGGCTTGGGACTCACTGGATCCAGCATAACATTCAGCTGAACAGTGGCGCCGGCTTGCATGATGTGCCGCCGCCGCTGCTCTGGCGCAGTGGCTTGAGCCTGACGTCTGGCACTGAGCGCCTGGCGCCTGCTCTGGCATGGGCCACCATGCCGGCAGACTACCCCTGCGCTGGATATGCATCACTCAGTATATGCGGTACCATCGTCAGTGGGGCATCCCCCCTGGAACAACCGCTGGACCCGACCAGTGCAAAAGTGAAGCCTAGGCAAGTGGTGTGGCAACCGCGACAGATAAGATGGCGGCAGGTTGGCGTCATGCTGCTTTGCAGGAGCGCCGTGTCCTCCCTGGAAGCAGTCGACCCTGCAGTTGCTTGCTTATCATCATCTCGGCCATGTGGCACCCTGCAGGTGCTGAGGCTATAAAAAGAGGGCGCTACTTCCGCCATCAACATGCCGGCGCCACCTGGAGGCATGACCTGGCGGGCGGCGAGCCACAGGCTTTCAAAACATGCAATGATCTCGCGACCTGTCGCGATTGTGTCGTTCTCAATTCAAGCCAATTGTAGGGCCGCTGGGTGGCGGAGCAGGGGAGTGCAAAGGCCAGCCGCAGGAACCCGTGCCTGAAGCAGCAGGCTCGTAGCTCATCGGTGTCCGTGACTGGTCAGGACGCGCGATTAAGCAGGCGTGAGGCATAGCGGCCCAGTGGGGGAATGCCAAGGGAGGTCATCACCCTCCAGTTCGGCAACTTTGCCAATTATGTGGGCGCACACTACTGGAACTTCCAGGCAAGTCGCCTCGGGGGTGACGAGCAGCGCCACCGCTCCCCTGCCCACCGCCGCCCCTCCCCGCCTCGGCCTGCAGGACGAGCTGCTTGGGCTTCAGGAGCAGCAGGGTGCACACGGCCCTGCGGCCCAGATAGACAGCGATGTGCTGTTCCGGCAGGGGGAGACGCTGCACGGGGAGGGCACCTACACGCCGCGCCTGGTGCTGTGGGACCTGAGCGGCGCGCTGGGCGGCGTCAGCGCGGGCGGCTCGCTGTATCACGACCGCCACCACAGCGCCGCCGTGGTTTCCACCTGGGCGGGGCGGCAGGAGGTGCACCGCGCCGCTCCCGTGCCCAAGAGCCGCTTTGCAGCGGAGCTGGAGAACGAGGCAGAGGGCCAGGAGGAGGAGGAGGCGGCGGCAGGCGGCGAGGCGGCGGCTCCCAGCGCTCTCCACACGGCGGCGCAGCAGCTGGACAGCGCCGGCGCAGGGCCAGGCGATGCTGCTGCGGGTGGCGTGCGCTACTTCACAGACTTCCTCAAGGCGCACCTGCACCCGCGCAGCGTGCAGCAGCTGGCGGGGGCGTGGCACGGGCTGACGCCGTTTGGCGGCTGGGGCGATGGCGGCGAGCACTGGCGCAGCGAGGAGCAGCGGGAGGCGATGGTGGAGCGCATCAGGTGGGTGGGGACAGTGGTGGGCCGGAATGGTGGTGGAAATAGTGGAGGGCTGTCATCCCAGCCGCGCCCCCACTGCCAAGCGCTCCCGCCCCCGCAGGTTCTTTGCGGAGGAGTGCGACCACCTGCAGGGCTTCCAGGTCCTTTCCGAGGACCTGTCGGGGTGGGGCCAGCTGGCGGCGCACGTGGTGCAGGTGGGAAGGAGGGCAGAGGGTGGGGCAAGGGAGGCCTTTGCGCCCTGCTTGCCTGCTGTTCACTCATCATCACTACCTGGCTGCTGCCTCGCCAATGGGCAGGCTGAGGGGCCATCCCACACTGTAATGCTTCTGCTTTGATGGCCTGCGATGTGGGGTGTGCAGGATGTGCGAGACGAGTACGGCGGCAACCGCCCCGTCATGCTGTTTGCGCTGCGCCCGGAGGTGGCTGCTGCCCCTGCTGCGGCTGGCGCCGAGGCGGCCCCAGCAGAGCTGCGGCGCCGGCGCCTTAACCAGGGGCTCAGCCTGTCGCAGCTGGCGCCGCGGTGCAGCACCTTTACTGTGGTGTCGCCGCCAGCGGCCCCCGCCGCGCTGCCGCTGCTGAGGTGGCAGCCGGGCAGCGCCTACCACGCCAGCGCCCTGTGTGCCGCGGCGCTAGACACTGCCACGCTTCCCTACCGCCTGGCGCCTGGCGACGGGCCCCATGCAGCAATAGGTGAGCGAGGGCCTGCCGCCGGCTGGCTGCTGCACACTATGCTGTCTGCCAGCTCCACACAGCCTTGTGGGGGAAAGGGTCGCTTGATTTGAAGGGAATGCTGCACCTGACTCCAGGCCGCACCGACATGTGGGGGCTCACCCAGCTGCTCACCGCGGAGCACAGCAGCCCGCTGGCGGCGCTGGCGCTGGCGCTGCCCTGCCCGGCGCTCCCCGCTGATGCACAGCAGCAGGCGCAGCAGGCAGACGCGCGGCAGCAGCAAGGCCGTGGGGCCGAGGCAGCGAGTGCAGGAGCGCCCGGCGGCAGCAGCAGCCCCTTCACTACCCAATGGCTGGCCAGCCTCACGCCTGGCGTCGCGGCTGTGGGCGACGCGGGGCGGTTTGCAGAGGCGGTAGTGCTTCGGGGGCCCAGGTCGGCAGGTGGCGCTCTGAGCCTGGGCACCGCGGCGGCATCCCTAGACGCGGCGCTGGCGCAGGAGCGGCGGCGGTGTGTGCAGCAGCGCACGCTGGTGGCGCAGCCGCTGGCGGTGCCGCTCCCCTTCCCACACATCTTTGCGAGCGGCCTCTCGCAGTGCGGCGGCCTGCCGGCCGGCGGCAAGCTCGGCGGCGGCTCCCAAGACGTTGTCTCCTGCGCCGTGCTGACGCGGCTGGGCGCCACATCAGTGCTGGGCCCCGTGGTGGCGGCGGCACAGCGCCAGTTCCGCGCCGCGGCCGGCGCCGGGCAGGGGCAGGCGGCCTTGGAGAGCTGGGGAATCGGCCGGGAGGAGGTGCAGGAGATGGATGAGCGCCTGACCCAGCTCATTCATTTGTATGATGAGGGGGACGCCTGAGGGTTGAGTCTGTAACGAACGATTGGCAGAAAACAACAACGACCGGAATTCTGCCAAATTTCTGGTGCCCGTGCCCAGTTGGCGGTCGGCGCCGGCGCCACATGCGAGCCTCGCACACACCATACTTCTCTGCTGCTTCTCTGGACTTCCAGTGTGGTGGTCTCAAACCCAGCATTCATGGATCGAGCTCTGCTTCTGCTTGGCTCACGGTAAAGTCTCGTGGGGTCAAGACGATGGCAACACTTGTCGGCGTGGAGCTGAATTACGAGCTCCAGCCAATCACAACAGAAAGGCGCCGCCAGGCAAGCGCACAGTAGTGCCGAACTGAGTCTCCCAACGACACATCTGCACGCTGACTGTGGGCTTTGCTGCTGGCACCACGCCTGGCTGCCGCAGCGGGAGCGAGTGCAAGCCGCCAATGTCGCCTGGGCAGCTGGCCCGACTGATGCTGCGGCGGTGTCGGCTGCGGCGGAAGTCGACGAGTCGCGCCGCCAGCTCGTTCAGGTGCCTGCGGAGCCTTGTGCTGGTCTGATGAGGCTGTGGGCCGCTAGCTGCCTTCCTGCCATGCACCTGTGAGCTGGGCCGCCGCATACTGCCGCCGCGAGTGCAGGTGTCGGCGCAGGAAGCGGAGACGCGTGGCTATGCGATCAGCACTGAGCTGTGCATGGCACAAGTAGAGGGCCACAGGCAGGACTTGCAGGCGGCGCTGGCCAGCTCCCAGGCCGGGGTCGCGGAGCTGGAGCTGTGCATGAGGTCGCTACGTGCGCAGACGGCAGCTGAGCGGGACCGAGCGTCAGCAGCGCAGGGCCAGGCTGAGGCGGCACGGACGGCGCAGAGCGAGGCACAGGCGACAGCGGCAGCGGCAGAGGAGCGTGCTGGGCAGCTGGAGGAAGCGTTGGAGCAGGCCAGGGCAGTAGGGGAGTCTCTGCAGGCACAGCTGTGCTGCGAGGAAGAGGGCAGGCGTGCCGAGAAGGCACAAGCGGCTGCCGCACTGCTACAGGCACAGAAGGAGGCGGAAGGGGCGGCCACTCTTCTGGCAATGGCCCAGCACGAGAACAAGGCGCGGCAGGGCCAGCTCAAGCAGCAGCTGGCACAGCGGGATTGGGAAGCGCAGCAGGCGCAGCAGGAGCAGGCGGGCGCCATCATTGAGCTGGAGGTGGGCAGGGCTACAGGCAGGGGTGGTGATGTTGTAGGGCCTCCATGAAGGGGATTGGGTTGTGAGGGGAAACTGCCCCTTTGATGTGCGTGCAGGGCCAAGTGCGCCAGCAGGTGGAGCTGCTGGTGGATGGAGAGCGGGAGCGGCAGGGCTTGATGCATGAGCTGCACTCGGCCAAGGTGGGGCAGGCTGCATGCCGGGCCCTGCGCTAGGATGGTTTTGCAAGCATGGCGAGCTGCGTTCACCTGGCCATTGACATGCTGGCATGCTGCTCCCGCAGGCAGACTGCGCGGCACTGGAGGAAATGGCTGCAGGCCCTGCAGCCGCGACCTCAGGCTGGCCACCTGCGCCGCCTGCCGCTCGCACTGCTGGCCCAAGCAAGGTGCTGAGCTGGCGCGACAGCTGGCGGGGCGCGACGAGGCGCTGGACAAGCTCAGGTGCCAGCTGCGGGACATGAATGACCTCGTTGCTGCGCTGAAGCGGGCTGGCCTGGAGCAGGTGGGATGGCGGCAGCCCAGGAATGAGCTGGCTGTTGGTCGGGCGGTGGAGCCCTGTGTGGTACCGCTTTGCTGGCCTGTTCATCTCTACACGGTGGCAGAGATAAGTGAGCAGGTTGGTCCCACCCAGGTTGCCACCTCCTGCCCGCCCTGCAGGCCGCCAGCCTGGATCAGGTGGAGGCGCACGCAGCGGCGTCGGCCAAAGAGGCTGCCGCCCTCCGCGTCGAGCTGAGCGCCAAGGCGGCTGCGCTGCGTGAGCGCAATGCGGCAGAGGAGATGCTTGCGGAGCGGCTGCGGGCCTCGGAGGGGCGGCTGCGGGCCTCGGAGGGCCAGCACCGGGAGCTGCAGGAGGTGCACGGCGCGCTGAAGGTGGCGCACGCGGAGCAGGGCACCAGCCTGCGGCGGCAGCTGGCGCTGGCACGGCAGCGGCTGAGCGACGCGGCAGCGGCGCAGGAGGCGGCGGCGGCGGATGCGGCAGAGGCGCGGCAGCGGTCGGAGCAGCTGAGTGCTGCCGTGGCGGAGCAGGGGGCACTCAGGGAGCAGCTGCGTGGGGCGCAGCATGAGGCGGCCACCTACAAAGGCCGCTACCTGGCGGTCCAGCACGCAAACGACAGCCTGCGCCTGCAAATCATGGCGGCACCGACTGCGGGGCCAGCTGCCGCGCGCACACAAAAGCCCGTCCCGGCAATGGCGCACCTCCCACCCTCGCCCACGGCTGGGCGCCCCGCCATCGCCCTCGGCTGCCGCATCACCGCGGCGGCAGCGGCGACGCCAGTGGCACGCATGGCAGCAGTGGGGCTCCCTGGTGGAGCTGCCACCGCCAGGCCCCACACGTCTGCAGCATCTTTGGCGTTGCAGCGCAGCAGCCCGACAAGGGTCGGGGCTGCCGCCATGGCCGCTGGCGGCGGCAGCGCCAGCCCTGACTGGAGCCCTGCCTCCCCCTCCGCCACCTCAGTGTGCATTAGCGTGCATCACTGCGAGCCACACGACCGGGAGCACGAGTAGCGCTGGCGACGGGGGCGGCGGACTGCTGCCCTCCAATTTGGCTGTGTCTATGTTTTTCAATGAGTACAAATGGTTGGTGATACGATACAAACCAACCCCAGTAAGAGGCCCCAACTGCACAATCCCAGCACTTGCACGTACCGCAGACTGGCTTCCAACTGCAAAACTTGACAATTACACTATGCATTCAGCAGATGGCGGCGCCGCCCAACAGGCAGGAATTGGTGAAGCGAGGAGGTGGGGTATCCGGCGATTCAACAGCAGACTTTGCAACACATGTGCGGAGCGGGAAACCTAGAGCGACAGTTACGAGGACGATGGGGGCTTGAGCGAGGGCTCCTGCGGGTTCGGTGCCGCAGGCGCGCCATCGTGCGGGGCATTTTGCATGGCCGCCAGCGCGGCGGCGCCTTCAACCGTGTCTGCATTTGCAAGGGGCAGAAAGAGCAGGGGCATTGTGTGGCTGCCGTGCGTAGCAGCCAAACCGGCCATCTCACGCGCTACTGCATTGCAAGCACACCACACCAGCGGAAGAGCTTCGAAGCAGGTCTCTCACCCGAACCAGGTGGCCCTGCGCCGCCGCTGCCCGACCCCGCAGCTGGCGGCGCTCCAGCGGCGGCTGCAAACAGGGAGAGGTCGAGCCTTCAAAACCAGACGTCCATACATAACAATAATAACATTCACTCTACAAATCTGCCATCAGCGGCGAATCACCATCAGCAGCGCTAGCGAGGCAGCCCTCAAGCATCTTGGTCCAGGCCCTCACCTACGCCCGACCCCTGCCCATGGCCGCCGCCACCCTCGGCAGCTGGCTGCGCAGCGGCAACTGCACATAACGACAAGCCTGCAACGTAATGAGAAACTCCACAATAAGGGCCGCCACCCCCCCACAAGGGGAAACCCTCAACACTCACCCTGCGGCTGCGCCGCGCCGTTGCCCGCCGCCTGCTCCTGCTGCTGGCGCGGATGCTCAGCTGAGCCGGCGCCTGAGAGGCGGCGCTCCGCGGCCGCAAGCTTTGCGGTGCAAGCTGCAAGCTGCTGCTCCAGATCCCGCCGCTGGCGCCGCAGCCCCACCTCCCGCTTCATCGCCGCCGCGACTTCGTCCTCTGCGCGCTTGCGCTTCTTCTGCGCCAGGTCGTCGTCGTGCTGCCGCAGGTCGTCATAGTGCTGCTGCACCTGCTGTAGACGGCTCTGCAGATCTTCTATGTTACCATCCCGAATGCGCAGCTGCATCTCCAGTTCGTATTGCCTGGCTTGGCACGTATCCAGTTCCTGGCGCAGGTGCGCTATCTGTTGCTGTTGATCCTGCTCTCCTGACATCCTGCACAGCCAATGGCGGAGCAGGTTAGTGGGGCACAGCCGTCTTCCCGCAGCGCCACTCCCCCTCGGCGGCCGCCCAGCGGCCGCCCTGCGGCCGCCGCCGCCGCTAGTGGCCCGCGTCCAAGGGCAGGCTGACGGTGCAGCAGGCCTGTCGCAACCATTGGGCAGCAGGAGCAGGAGGGTCGGGCCGCAAGAGTGCATGTAGGCCCCCACCTGTGGCTGTGCACTGGCGGTGTAAGCTTGCGCGGCAGTATAAACGCGCGTTTGGAAACAGAGTCACGGTCCTCCACTGGCTCCTCAACTGCGAAACGCACGCGTTTTGGCGCCATTCTAGAGTTTGGAATTTCAGATGGCTTCGGAGGGCCTCTACAGTGGGTGCTTTTCAACTAGGGGTCCCAGCTGGCCTGAAATTAGTCGCATTTGCCTCGAAAAACAGTATGGTATGAGCGGGCAGCGCGAATGGTCCTCGTGGCGCGCTGGATATCCATGGATGCATCATGGGGGCGGCCGGGACCTGTTTCGTTTGTGTTTCTCTCGGGTACCCCGCTTGCCGCGCCTGCCGGGTGCCGGAACGCGCGAATTCGGGGTGGAGGGCACCAATGGGTCGTGCATGCCGCGCGTTCTACCCTCCCGCCGTCCCTCAGCCTCCGCATGCCTCTCTGCTGCTGCATGTCTTTCTACTGCTGCAGGCGCGGTTTCCGCGGCGGGTGGGGGTGAATACCACGAAATAGGGGTGTTCGCCGGCCGCATGTCCTCATGGCCCTCTCCCCCCCCAAACCGCCCGCCCTGCAGCGCCTCTTTCATCCATTGTTCGATAGAATCCACCAATGCACGTGTTCAGGCCGGCCACAGGCCCGCAGCAGCGACTTGGAGCCCCGCATCCGGTGCCCCCGAATCGGGGGCTTTGGCTACCGCTCTGGGCGGCCCAGCACGCTCTAAACGGCTCCACAGGATGGAATATAAGGCCGCCGCTGCGCCCCGCGGCAGTCACCCAAAGGGCGGCAGTGGCCGCTGCTGCTGCCAAGCCGCCGCTGCTGCCAAGCCGCCCTGCCCGCAGGGGCAGCTGCGCAGCGCCAGGACGACGACCTGATTCCCAGCAGCTGGGGAAGTCATCCAGGGAGCAGTATGATGGGGAGGGTCTTGAGCATGACCAGGGCGAGCAGCAGGCGCATATGGCGCGGCCGCCACAGCGCCGACGGCGGCAGGCTGCCACCTGCGGCCCGCAGGCCATGGCTGTCAGCAGCGTTGCTGCTGCCGTACTGCGGTCGCGGGCTGAAGGCGAGGGCAGCAGGAAGTGCAAGCCAGGTGCGCAGGGTGCAGGGGGATGTGTAATCTGCGTGAGCTGGCCCACCACCTCCCATATTCTTTGATCTCCTCCCCTAAATACCCACCCCACCCTAAATGAGCTACTTCCGCCCATCCCCAAATTTTCTGTCGTGAGTTCACGACAATCCCAAACGAAATTGGTAAAAGGGTTGGACCACTTAAATCAGATGCGACTAATCAAATGCGCATCCGCTGCAATGCTAGGGCACGCCAGGCCAGCCAGTACCGCAAGCGGGCCGACACGCCTCGGCCACAGGGCTGGCACTTTGTTGGTGGACCAGGGGGGGGGGCGGGGGGTGATGTTGAGCTGGGTCTGCTGGCTGTTTTGCCTGTGGAGCCACCATACGCCTGGCATTTTCACGGCTGCCCCCCGGCGCGCCGCTTCGCCAGTGGCGCTGCTCCTCTGCAGCCACGACCGGATCCAGCAGCCCCACCTCCTCGTCTAATGTCATGCACATGGCAACCATGCAAGAACCCGCCCGGTGGAAGGGATAGCAAGAGCAACAGCACACGAGGGCTGCTCCCTCTGCTCTGCGCTGGCAACAGCATCGCCATCAGCCTGCGGCGGAAGGGGCAGCATCACTCACCAGCAGCAGCGAGTTCCAGCTTCATCTGCCCCTCAGCTGCATGCTCCTGCCACGCTCGCTGCGCCGCTTTCGATCAGGGCCTGGCATGGCCGCCACAGCCCTGCCCGCCAAGCCGCTGGCTGCTGCCCCCCGTCCCGTGCATCCATGGCGGCTGCCACAGCCACGCCAGCAGCGGGACGCCCAACCACCAGGCTTCAACTGCAGCGCCTAACAGCAGCTCAGCAGCAGCCTTGGCCTAGCTGCCGTGAGTTGCTGAACACCGCCGCCACTGCCGCCGGCGCCGAACGGCAGGGGCATGGGAAGTTCTGGGTCTTGGCCGGGCACAGCTGAAGGCTCCTAGTCGGGCTGCAGGTTGCTCTCCGTGCTGGAGCTGCTGGCCTGGCGCTGCAGCACCCATGGCGAACTGGCTGCCTGTGAGCCAGGTGCCTGTTGCTTCGGTAGGCCGGCTGTCGGAAGGGGGGTGTGCCCAACGTGGGGCGCTAGGTGCATTGCACTCAGGACCTGCTGCCTCTGCTGGCGCCGTCATCTCTGTTGCCTGCACCCTGACGCGCTGTGCTCGCTGCTCTGCACATCCCCGGAGCTGCTGCGCGCGGGCCTGCCCCTCTGACTTTGGCAGCGCAGGCTGGGGGCGGGCGCTGCGGCTCGCACGCCGCTTCCACCGCCTCCGACACGGCCTGCGCCTGCTTTGCTTTGCCCGCATTCAGCCGCTTCCACCGCTGCTTGTCGCCTGTCCACCGCTTCCGCTGCTTCCCCTTGGCCATCACTGCTGCAGTAGTTGCTACAGCCGCACTGCCGCTGCTCCTGCCGCCGCCGCCGCCGCCAGGCGGCCAGCGCCTGGCGCCTCCAGCGACCCTGCGGCGCACGTCAGGCAACGATTTGGTGGAAGCCGTGGCTGGCGCAGGTGCCCAGGCGGGCCACAGGCAGCACAGGAGGCAAAGCTCGACATTGCACCATGCAGCGACCACTTTGCTGCTCGCGCATGCACGCCGCTGCCGCTTCCGAACCTCCCCGGGCACTACAGAGCGCAATTCTGTCGTGGCGATTCGGCTGCGTGGGCCCAGGAGACGGGGCGGGCACCTGCCGCTCACACCCACCCCAGCGCCACCTCCGTGTGCATTACCGTGCGCCACTGCGAGGCACACCACCGGGAGTACGAGTAGCACTGGCAGCGGGGGCGGCGGACTGCTTCCCTCCAATTTGCCTGTGTCTACGTTTCTCAAGGAGGACAAATGTTGAGGTGATACCAATACACTTTAGCCCTGTAAAGCACCGCCACCCTGGTGTGCCGCCCTGTGCGTGCGGCGCTAACCAACCGCCGGTGGCGGCGATGTCTGGCGCAGGGCAGACAATGGCCAGCTCGCAGCGGCGCCAATGCCCCAGCGCGCATGCATGGATCAGGCGCTGCTTGCAACGCAGAACAGCCCGTTTTTGATGGCAGCAGTACACTTGAAAACTTGTGGAGACCCAGAGCCCTCGCCAGATTTGTCCAAACTCGCAGGCCTCGCCAAACAGGCTTCTTCAGGCCCCTGCATCCTGCAGCTGCGGCTATGCACACAGGGGGCTGCGCCCTGGTGGGGCACGCGGCGCTGCGGCAGCCCCGCGGGGCCCTGCGTGTGCGCAGCACCATGCCCAAGCGGGCGATCATGCGGCCGACGGCCCACAGACCGCGCCTCTGTGTGGCGGCGGCCGCCGCTGGGGCGCTCGGCCAGGCGCGTGGCAGTGGAGGGTTTTGATTTTCGCCGCTTGCCTTCTTGATGCTGGGTGTGCATTGGATGAAGCTTGCATGCGTGCTGCCACCTGGCCTGGCGGTTTACCAAGCCCCAACAGCTCAACCGCCCTCCCGCCCCCTCGTCGCCGACCGCAGAGCGCGCCTGGCGGCGCGCCAGGCGGCGGCGCCGCCGCCACCGCCATCATGAAGGAGGCCCGGCGGGCAGAGGTGCAGCAGCGCATCGCGGCGGCCAAGACCCGGCTGCTGGTGGTGCAGCAGCGGCTGCAGGCGCAGGCAGAGGCGGCCGCCACCGCGGGCAGCTCTCTGGACGAGGAGGGCGGCTCCTTTGAGCTGGTCAGCTCCGTGCTGGCCGCCGCCGCCGACAGCGAGCAGCTGCGGTCCGACACGGCCACGGCCGCCGCCACGGCGCTGGCCACCAAGGTTGCCACGGAGGCCGCCCGCGCCGACCAGGCGGCGGCGCAGGCGGCGGCGGCGGCGCAGGAGGAGGCGCAGCTGCAGCTGGCGGCGCTGGCCAGCCTGCAGCAGCAGCTGGAGTCGGTGCAGCTGGGCCAGGCGGAGGCGCCAGCCCAGCCCGCCCGCGCGCCTGCCCCGGCCAGGCAGGCTGCCCAGGGGTGGGACCCTCTCAGCATCCTGCTGGCACCCGCCGCGCCGCTGATGGTGGCGCTGGCAGGGGCGCGGGGCCACGAGGCGGGCGCCGCCCCTCCCCCCCGCAACAAATACGACATGCTGCTGGATGTGCTGGGGGCGGCGGCGGCGGCGCCGGATGCGCAGGTGGGTGGAAAGCGCGGCGCAACCAACAACCGCGCATGGCGGCACGGGGCAGGCCGGTGCCGCTGCACTTGCTGCACGCCCTGGAGCAGCAGCCGCCGGCCCTGAGCCTGTGGTGCCTTTGGTGGTGGCGCTCGTGTGGCGCTCTTGTGGCGCTCGAGCCGCCGCTGCCCTCCCTGGCCGGTGCTGCTGCAGCGCGACGCGCGGTACGACCCTGTGCGCACGCTGCTGGCGGCCGCCCCCCAGTCGGGAGTGCCGCGCTACGACTTTGCTCGCTCTCTGGTGAGAGCGCGCAGCCAGGCAGCGGCGGCTGCTGGCCTGCGTGCCGGTGCCGGGGAGGCGCACACCGCTGCCCTTGCCTGCCCGCGCGGGGCTGGGTTTGGGGCTGGGTGTGGGGCTGGGTGGTTGGGTGCGCCTCCCCGCCATGCCCGGCGCCGTGCCCCAAGCCCCGACCGCGCCTCCTGCCCCCACGCCCCTGCAGCTGCGCGGCCTGGCTGCGTCCGAGGCGGGCGATGGCAGCAGCGGCAACGGCGTGTTTGACATGGCTCATGGCTTGCTGCAGGTGCGGGCCCACCTCATCACCGCCTCTG